GGATGTTATATTAATAGGATTGAAAGGTAGAGAAACAATCCGGGACATAACACGCAAGTACAAGTAAGATTGAACTCACTGTGCCGCGCTTTGTGGTGGAAGCTTTGTGCGTCACAGCACATCATCTAGGGATTAATTAAAGCTAACATGATTAGCTCATGAAATCAAAAATGAAAAGGATGGAAATGTATTTGGAGGTGTGAAGACATTCAACTCTGCCAGGGTAAGCGATGTCTGGAGATTGAGAGTCTGTTTTGATTAAAAACTTGCTGGGTAAGTATTGCACAATCCCAAGCTTCAATTCCACCCCTTTTTCATAGAATTTCATCAGTTGATAAATCAAATCATGAAGTTCTAAGGTGTTGTAATCCAAAGGAAAGGGATAAAATGAGCTATCGAATACAAACTAAGGTTTTGAGACTAGTATGGAGTTAAATGGTTGAGCTTTGAGAGTTTAAGCTTAAATTGGCCTAAAAGTTAGGTTGAAATTGAGAAATTACATAAATGATTAAGTTAGGAAGTTGTTATGTTTGTCTAAATAGCCTATAAGGCTAATGACTTTATATAACATCTATAAAATTTAATCCTAGTTTATTAACCTAATGAGGGTAATTAGTGAGTTAATGATGTGTGTGGCCAAAGGAACTTAACTTAGTGAATTATTGTGATTTCAGCCTTAGAAGTGGATCTGGATCAATGGTGGGCCACCCAGGTAAGGAAAGAGAAAGAAAAAGTGAAGAAAGAATTGTCATTTGTGCCACATGCCGTGGCGTGTGGATAATCTGCTGTGGCGCACAAAGACCAATTTGAATGTAATTAGCTTCTCTGTGCTATGTGGTTCGACGGAGGGCAGCGTGTGCCGTGGTGCACGGCCAAAACTTAGATATATCTTGTTCGTATTTGTGTGAGGAAAAAGAAGAGAGGAAAGGAAGAAAATAAATAGCTCTACTTTTACTCTACTATGGCATGTTGTAGGATCATATTGAGGCTAGATTAAAGCTCCCAAACACCTAAGGTAAGTTTATCATGCCTTCTTCTTCCTTTCTCACCCTCATTTATGATGAGTTATGGTAGGGTTTAAGTTAAAAGATGGATTTTTAGTTCATAGGATTATAGGTTTGATTCTATTGGTTAGAATGAGTATAATGGGAGTTGTTTAAGGAACTAGAACATCACACTGATGATTTTGAAAGTGGTTGGTCTATTGGAACATTTATTATCTAAAAATTGATAAAAAATATGATAGTTGAGAGAGGTTTATGTAAATTAATGATGATTTGACGTGTTATTAGTGATAATGTGCATTAATGAATCCTAATGAGCCCATTGGATATGAATAGGTAGTGACTATGGGTTGATAAAATAGAGTGTATAGAATTATGTATTGATAAATTTTCAAGATTAAGAGAATGATGATATTCTTGTGGTATGATTGTAGTATGGTTCATTTTGTTGAGTTTGTGGAGTATTTGAGTTTATATGAGTTTATGTACTGTGAATTGATTGTTGAAATGCATATTATGTGAGAAATGAGCACAATATGATCATTGGCGAGAGTTCACCTATGGAGAGGAGTAGATTGATTTAAATCCACATGGTATTAGCAATAACTGTTGGAATCAGGAACTAACCTTGGCATCGACCATTGGAATCGGGAGGTAGCCCTTGTCCTATGGTTGATTCGAGACTGTCCCACTTGTTTTACAAGGGACTTGAACCTAACTAGTCTCCACTGGTTCATGAGGAGGCTAGATTAGGGGTATACACCCTATGGTTGTTAGTATTGGGGGAAACTGGATTATATGAGTAAGTGAGTTTACCCTAGCTCGGTAGCTCCTCATAAGTGGAAGGCTGGGTTAGTTCGTAAAGGACGTAGCAACATGATAGCCATCGATTTCGTGTTAGAGGTAACAAGAGGATATAAGGTTGGCATATGATCATTCATATAAGTTCGGCCATATGGTTGTTAGTTTTGTAGTCCAACATGCGTTGAGGGTGCATGGCTGTTATCTTTGCAACCCCATGTTGTGCTTGTGAAATATCATGATAAAGTGTGATGTGGTAAGCCCAGTCACATGGTTGTTAGTTTTGTGAACTGTGGCCGAGTGTTATATGTGATATCTGTGTTTTTGCTTAATTGCATATATTTACAATTGATATGCAATTGTATAGGTTAAGTGAAACTTGGTTACTGAGTGGTTGTACTCACTCCTCAATTCTCAATATTTTTATGACCTAGTTCGTCGAATTTGAATTGGGGAAAACACACAGAGGGCTAAGATTGTAGAGTAATCCTCTTTATGCCTCTTTTTGTTACATTCATGTGTATTTGTTGATGTAATTTCCAACTAAGGTCATTTAACATATTTTATGCACTATTTGCATGATTTTTTTATAACTGGTGTATTTTGTGTCCTAGGTTAGCGAGTTTTGGTTATAAACTCGTGGATAGGGCTAACATACTTGTGAAGGTAGAAACATATATATTTTGAAAGATTTAGAATGAAATTGATGATTTTGTGCAACATTCCCCGTAAATATTTTGTGGAAATAGGGGTTGAGTGGTGATTTTATGATATGAGTGTGTTTGTTCGTGTGTAGTGCATTGCACGGGTCCGCAAGAGTCCATTGAGTGTGGTCGAATGGTTGGTGTAAGCTATTGGCATGAGTAGTTAAGTGGGGACACCCATTTGTGAAATTTTATAAAAAAGTGGTCAAAATGTGTTTTGATGTCTAACTTCTTATGGAAAATGAGTTTGAGTGTGAAACCAGTGTCATTAGCTAGAGCCAGGAGAAAGCTCCATATAGACATTGAAAGCATCTCAATCGAACGTTGGATGGAGATTTGGGATGCATCAAAATTTCGCTCCCTGTGCTATCAAATGACAAAATTAATGTTGCAAATTTGTGTAATGAGCTACAGTGCATATACCGTAAGCCGCAGCGCTCATGTCATTTTCTACACAAAATCTGTTTAAGTTTTAAAACTCATGATTTTAGGTCCCAATTGATTTTCAAGCTTTCGCATTACTTTCAAAACTCTGACTTGAGATTATTAAATAATGCTTGAGATTAAAAATGTTGAATTTAGGATTCCTTTAAAAAAAAGATTGGAGAAACTCCCTTTATATGAAATTTTACAATTTGATAATCCTTTGAGGGTTAATCACTTGATTGCCATGATTTGGAGTTAAATAGTAGATTAGCATTGGAGAGCTTACAATTTGGTCTCTTAGTTCTTATAGTTTGGTATCAGTTTTTCTAGTTATGAGAATTGGACTATGGAGTTTTCAATCAGATGTGAGTTTGCTTATGAATAGTGCATTTGCATATAGAAAGTTGGCAATTAATATTATACATGTGTTGTTTTCCCCATTGAGCTAGTGTTAATTATTTTCCTTTTGTGGGATAACTTCCATCCTTAAGAAGGGAGAATAGTACAAATAAGAAATATGACCAACAACATTCTAGCAAATGTATCAAGACAAGTATGGGATGTCTTAGCATAAAAAGAGAATATTGTCCCTAGTGAGAATGTTGAGATGTCACAGGGCTCGAGTCAAGCTAGAGAGCAATCGAGACCTACAACGAGTAATGAGAATATATTGCTAAAGTTGAGAAGCATGATGGAAAGAATTAAGCAGAGAATAGATGAGTATGATGAAATGTTGAAGAAGAGACCAGAAGAGTCAAGCAAGACCGTAGAAAGAGTTAGCGGTTATGGTGGAGTAAGACTAGAGAGGGAAGTACTCGATCGATAAAAGGAAGATTACTACGAAAAGAGTAGACCAAGGAGGCCTAAACTAGTGAGGCCTAGAGGAAATGAACAAGAGAGCTCTATTGATTTAGCCTTGAAGAAGTTCATAAGGTTCAATCCTCCATCATTTAAGGGTCCCATGGAAAATAGAGCAGCTAAAAAGTAGATAAATCAGTTGGAGATAATCCTTTCTATTATGATTTGTACATCTAAGTAGCAAGTATTACTTGCAACATTCCTACTTGAGGATGCTGCCAAGTAGTGGTGGGAGAGTATGAGACCAACAGATAAGTCTCAGTTGACATGAAGTGAGTTCAAGAGGAGGTTCTTCTCCTACTATTTTCTTGCCTCTTTCAGAGCTGAGAAAGAGGCTGAGTTCCACCGGTTGTAGCAAGGAAACATAAACGAAAAAGAATTTATAGTGAAGTTCAACGAGTTGTCCAAATACTCAACATACTTGAGGAATCATGATGATGAGTATTAGAAGGCCAAGCAGTTACTGGAGAAGATACGGGTTGATTACAGACAGCAGTTGGCACCTTTCGATATTGTCTCATATGGTGACATGTGTTGTAAGTTGAGAGTAGTGGCCAGACGTGGTTGTGAGGTTGAGGACAATAGAGGAGAGATGGTTGGGGCTATTTGTCTATATATATAGGTCCTACTAGAGGTATTGGGAAGAGAGCTAGATATGGCTTTGTACTATTAGGATTAGGCAACAGTAGTAGTAAGAAGAGAAGCTTCCAGAGGGTTCACATTTTAGAGGTTCCCAGATAAGGAGTAACAACCCCGGGAGTATAGGTGGGTGGAGTCAAGCTTCAAGATAGGATGCTGCTCCTACAATAGCTAGATCGATTAGAGCCCCACAATGTAGCAAGTGTGGGAGATACCATACTAGGGAGTATTGGACAGGTTTTAAGTGTCACAAGGTTGGGAACATTACTCGGTATTGCCTAGAGAATGCTCCTCATATCGATCAGAGGTTTACCATTCCTGGTTATATGTTTGCTATGATGAGAGAAAATGTTGAAGCTTCCCCAAAGCTTATCTAAGGTATGATTTCTTTAAGCAATCAATAAATTTTTACTTTGTTTGATTTTGGTGCAACTTACTCATTTGTTTCTGATGAATATGCGAAAAGACTGAGGTTTCATGTTATTGAAATGCCTTTCATGATGAATGTGTCTACACCAGCTGGTGCTTAGTGAGAACCAATCAAGCTTGCTTGAAAGTATAGTTGAAAATGGGTGAAATAGTTACAAGTGTTGACTTGATTTGTTTGCCCATGACAGGAATTGATGTGATAATTGACATGGATTGGTTGTCTGCCAATAGTGTGATGTTAGACTATAATAGGAAGATGGTTTCATTACCAATGTACATGACGGCCACAACAAACAATGAGATTGCACAGCTTGTATCTATTACTACTTCGGAGAATCCTAAATTCCTATCAGTGGTACAAGTAGAGAAATCAGTGAAAAAGGGACGTCAAGCCTTTATAGTGTCATGTTCAATACACGAAGTGTATGATAGAGCATTAGATAAGATTAGAGTTGTCAATGAATTTCCTGAGGTATTTGCAGATGAAGTGTCAGGATTGTCAGTAGAGAGAGAGATTGAGTTCTTAATCAATTTAGTACTTGGTACTAAGCCAATCTCTAAGGCTCCATATCGGATGGCTCTAATAAAGTTGAATGAGCTTAAGAGACAGCTAGAGGAGTTATTGGAGAAGGGGTTGATTAGACCTAGTGTTTCACTTTGAGGTTCGCCTGTTCTGTATTAGATAGGGAGGCACAGTGAAAAATTAAAATTTTAAAGTCCCTATCCTGATATGGACCGAATGAACTTGTTTAAGTCAAGGTGGATAGAAGAGCTACCTTTTAATTCTTTGAACTTGGTGCACGTTCTCTCCAAGAGTTTGGATCTCAGGAGCTGAAAATGTAGATTTGTTCCTTTTACTAATATCCACATGAATAGCTCTCTAACTCGAACAACATGCTAGCGCTCCCAGCATCCGTTCTTCTTTAAACATTATTTTTTCTTTCTATAGGGTGTTTCATGGCTCTCAAAGTATTTTTGCCATCAAAACTTTTCTAACTCTCTCATCCTTTATAAAGGACGTCCCTATCTACATGATAGTATATAGATCAAGGTTTTTGTCTTCCACTTAAAAGCCCACGAAAATATAATTAAATTTATTTCATAAATTTAATCCATGATATTATATCTAATTCAAATTTATCTTATAAATTCAAATTATCAAAATGACATGATATTCTCTCATACCATGTTAGTTATTAAATTTAATCTATCATATAAAATTAAATTTAAAACTAATATAATATAATATAATATAGTATAATATAATATATATCACATATACATATTATATTATATATATACGAATATATATATACATATATATTTCAAATATATATATATATATATTTAATTTTATATATCATATACATATATTATATATATATCTGCTATATATATGCATATGAATATATATACTTTAAAAATATATATATATAAAATTATATTTTTGAATTTTACATTTCATATATATATAAATATTTGTCAAATAAATACTCATATATATATATATATATATAATTCATTTACCCTATATTACATTCATGAAATCTAGACATATCCCAGATTCATTGAATTTGGACATTATAACTCGAGTTGGACTGTTCTTGTGTATGACCCTATAGGCCCATATGAAGTTGATAGTAAGCTAATTATGCTATTAGCCCACAAGTCATAAATGGCCTCTAGCAAGACATTATAACTATCTAATTCATATGGGAATCGATGATCTAATGTAACCTATTATGTAACCGTATCACATCTCTTTTGTCACATGATATTTTGATCAAGTATGAGACATAGAATTGTCATTCTCCTTTACTTGACCATTACTTTCTCAATCTCTGAGTGGACTGATAGTAACAATGAAAAAACCCTTTTCATTGTAGTATGGCCATACATTTTCTCAGTCTTACTCATCGAAGGGCCTAGTAATATCTCTCACTTAATGTGAGAGATAAATTCTATATTGGCCACTCATATTTCTCTGCATGAATATTACTAAACTCAATCATAGCCATTATGATCACTCGATCAAAGGTGACTTTTGACTAGGTCGAAGTTCAGTAGTCATCATGTAGGAATCTATGATGATATCAAGTCAAGGGGCTTAGTGATATAGTTATATATGAGATAAGTTTATGACTTGTACAATGCAACTTTCTCATAGCGAGTCGGTCCAGCACCTTTTACTCTTTCAAGTGCCTATAACTTTGATTTGTATCTCTATAATTAATCAAAGTTATACTAGTCTTGTTTCATCTATGATCCCTCACAGATGACCGACCGGGGACATTTAAGACAATCATTATAGTTTGTCTAATGATATAGTTATCATATTAAACATGCAATTGATATAATAACAAAAGAGAAATTCATTAAATAACAATGTGCATAGTACAATGATTGGCCTAGGGCACAATTTCCAACATTCTGTTTGTTAGGAAGAATGATGGTAGCACGAGATTGTGTATGGACTATCGATAGTTGAATAAGGTGACAATTAAGAAAAGTATCCATTACGCTGAATCAATGACTTGTTGGATTAATTGGCTGGAGTAGTAGTATTCTCTAAGATTGACTTGAGATTAGGCTATCACTAGGGATGATGTGCCAAAAACTACTTTCAGAATGAGATATGGGCACTATGAGTTTCTTGTTATGCCATTCGGACTGATGAATGCACCCATGATCTTTATAGATTACATGAATCAAATCTTTAGTCCCTACTTGGACAAGTTTGTAGTAGTCTTTATTGATGATATCCTAATATATTCGGTTGTTTAGGAAGAACATGCTAAGCACTCATGGATTGTGTTGTAAATTCTGGAAGAGAAAAAGCTATATGCGAAATTGAGCAAATGTGAATTCTGGTTGTGTGAGGTGAAGTTTTTAGGTCATGTAGTGTCAGCAAATGGTATTGTAGTTGATCCTCATAAGGTAGATGCAGTACTATAATGGGAAAATTGACTTCTGTGATAAATATCTGAAGTTTCTTAGGTCTAGCAGGATACTATAAAAGATTTATTTAGAGATTTTCCCAGATTTCATTTGCTTTGCCTAAATTGACTAAGAAAGATCAACCTTTCATATAGACTGATAAGTATGAAGAGGCTTTCCAAGAGTTGAAGTAGAGATTGATGACTGCACTTGTGTTGACTATCCTAAATTCAAAATGGCCATTTGTAGTGTATGCAGATACTTCACAGTTCTAATGTAAGATGATAGAGTTGTGGCATATGCTTTGAGATAATTAAGACCACACGAGGAGAACTATCCTACCCATGATCTTAAGCTTGCAACGATGATGTTTGCGCTTAAAATATGGAGACATTACCGCTATGGTACGTAGTTTAAGGTATACACTGTGTAACCTCCTCTCATATATCCACTTAATATAAGAGAAGACTATGGTGTTACCATTAACTCACATCATTCACAAGAATCAAATTCATTTCAAAAGCTTCAGCTGAAAACTTACTTTATAAAATCAATTAAATCACAATTCAATTAGAGAAAACACAGCGAAAATAAATCATATACTTTCCAAGTACATAGTGGACATAACCCACCAGTATTCCTAACTCAAATGCATGTATTTCAGCATACAAAATAAAACTAAATTTTGGTCTGTGCACTGCGACGGATAGTCAATCAATGTGGCATATGGCATAGAGCCACACGCTCATCCTCTCTATGACGTGTGCCTCGATATGTGCATCCATAAGCTGCGGTGCGCCTGTCTGTTTTTCTACTATCATTTCGACAGCAAAATGATGAACTTTCGGCAAACACCATTTTCACATATGACATCCAATCGAAGTGATTCAAGTACCCACACAAAGCTTAGCTCGTATACTAACTAATGAAATAGGTTTGGACATGATCTAATGGTCTTATCAAAATTTGAACACTCGGGTGCATGAAGTCACTTTTTCTGAAAATTTGGTGTCCCCAAGCGCTCAAATCAATCCCTTTCTCTTATTAGACCACACTAGGTCTTGAATCAAGTCCAAAAGGATCTGAAACACTTGATTAACCACAATTAATCACAAACATAATTATATATCAAAATTTGACCCCTTTATGGCCAATTTCCACAATTTACTAATTTCACATACTATGCCATTTCTTGGCCAAACATAGCCCACTTGGCTACTTTTCAAGTCCATCATATACAAACATATGCAATTATATTCATAATACAATCTTAGCCCTCAAATTACTCATTTCATCATAATTTTGGCTTTTGGCTTAAGATTCACCCATCATAAATCAAAATACAATCTTAGCCCCCAAATTACTCATTTTTTCATAATTTGTCCTTTGGCTTAAGATTTACCAACACATAACCATTGCATCCTAAATATACTCAAATCAAAGCCCTTTTATGTCAAACAACACATTTACACATAATTCGGGCTTCATTTCACAAAAACTCAATTCAATACATGCATATAACCTATGGCGACTCATATACACTTATATATACAATATTTCAATTCAGTTCATACAACCTCAGAGTAAACGGCTTCTCAACTCAAGCTGATCCAAACTCTCTTCTCTTGGCCAACTCACTTCTTGGTCTTGTAAACATGTAACTACAGGGGTGAGATAAAAATCTCAGTAACAGAATAACTCACTCCTATTGACTATCACATGCAACAATATGAAAGTAAACATAGTATACTATTAAAACTTCATAAAGTAGTATTTACATCATATCACATTTCATTTTCTACTTTTTATCAATCCTGAGAGATTCTGTGCTATCTCAAGATATTTGTTCATATCATAAAATACTAGCATGATCTCTACCAACCAAACCTCCAAATCACCCCGACATGAAACTATAGGCTCATCTCAGACTGATGTACACTCTCATTAGTCTTGAGCTCACCTACAATGGTAGAATCACTCAGCTAAAGATGTTCTAATGCATAATATAGACTATGGTTTTTCCCTAATACACACAATAGGGCGTCGTTGACTCCCACCTGTATCACAATGATACTAAGGAATCTCTCATCTCCAACACAATACCTTAATAGGCACTCAAGAGATCTTCTCTAATATAGCACCTTTTAAGGCACTAAGGAGAATTGTTTCTAACATCGCACCCTAATAGGGTACTAAGAAAACCTTGTCATATGGTCTTTATCATCCCCTATACTTGGGTGAACTCTTACTACTTAAATCATGCTTTCTCAAACCATTTAAGGTTCCCTTTTCACAATTTACTTTTTCTTATACATAACATATATATATATATATATCACTTTACATTACAAAACATAATTTCAATGCTCATTTTAAAAAAAATCATTTTACACACACAATCACTCAATGCCACAAAACATGCTCAATTCAAAAACCAATTCATACATTACATAGTATACTAGTGTATAGTTATAATAAACAGTCAAATAAAGGAAGTTATTCAATTACCTCAGCCCTTCTGTCACTAGAAAGGTTACTCGTAGATTTTTACTATCGTACAAGCTTATCTCAAGCTTCCTTTCTCTACCCACTCACCTAATATGCCAATCTGAACACATTTGGCATATTTTAGTCATTTAGCCCATTTTGACCAAAAACTCATTTTTACTATTTAGGGCTACACTCACCCATAAATTCTTTTTCATTTATCCATTCTAAGTCTAT